GCTACACCGCAGTTACATGATTCGCCTTTGGTGGATTGTCCACATGATTGATAAATCACTTGCACCTGGAAAATATTATTCAAAAATATAAAATAAAATTATAAAATATGAAATAAATTATTATAAAATAACATTATCACTGTTAAATTTAAAAGATTTCAACAATATCATTATTACCACGAGAATCATCATATTTAGTATAACTTTCTCAAGATCATCATAGTCGCTTTTTTGTCGTTTTCAATCATAATTTTATGTTTTTGACGTTTTATTGTTAATATTTTAATTGTTTATCACCTCGTTTAATCATTCGTTATCATTTTCATTATCAATGTTGCATTTCGTTATTTTCCCACCATTCCATTAAAAATCAGACCAACCTCATAGTTCAATTCTCGGTTTTCGTAGAGGGTGAAATAGCCATGGTACAGGTTGTTGTAGTACCTTTGTATTGTGATTTAAAGACATTAAAATTATTTTTTATTGGTTTATTTCTGTTTTTTATTATCTTGTTTTATTTATTAAAAACTAAACAACGGCTTTCACAATAGAAATAATTAAATGAATATTTAAAGCGATCAAAAGATGATTTTCGGAGATCAAATAAGAAAATCTTGTAAAGACCATTGATTAATCGATCAAACTCATCAGTAAATGAACAACGAGTTGGTAAAAACCATCCATTCCATACAAACTTTTCAATTACAAAAATTTCCACTTTAAAAATTTTATAAACTATAAAATACTTTTTTTATAAGGTTTTTTGAAAAGTTTTCCGACGGAGGATGATTTGAAATAAATATGTTATACATTTGAATGAATTAATATAGCAAAAGAACATTTTGTATGAAATAGTTTGAAGAAATTATATCAAGAATCAAGTTACTACTCTTACACGTTGTCAAAAGTCACAATGTGCGGATCGTTTATGGACTGGCATATGCCAATCAGTTTTGAATCTCTGTCGGCTACTTTCAGCTGTTCAGTGTGGGATGATTTGAAATAAATATGTTATACATTTGAATGAATGAATTTTATTTTTTATAAAAGTGTTAAGTTTAAAATAGTATTGTAAATAATTTAAAATTTTTGTTTCTAAAAAACGTTTACAAAGTCTGATATTTTTGAAAAGTATAAAAATTGAATCACAGACTAATTGATTATATTAATTAGACAACCAACGAACTAGCCAACCGACCGACGGATCAACCAGCCTACCAACCAACCAACCAACCAACCAGCCTACCAACCAACCAACTAGCCAACCAACCAACCAGCTAACCAACCAACCAACCAGCCAACCAACCAGCTAACCAACCAACCAACCAACCAGCCAACCAACCAGCCAACCAACCAACCAGCCAGCCAACAAACCAGCTAACAAACCAACCAGCCAACCAACCAACCAACCAGCCAACCAACCAACCAACCAACCAACCGGTACTTTAGTGCTGTTGACCCGTAAACCATCGACAACCATCTTTAACGTAAAATTTACATCAAGTTCTTTGACTCTTTCTAATTTGTGATCGACAGTTGCATGTAAAGGAGCAACAAAAGTATGATTCCAGTTTGCATTTGTGATGTTTAAACCACCCGTCATCCTATCTACCCCTTCGCATTTGTAGGTGGTGTTCAGGTATCGGTCACCACACTGCCCTTTCTCGCCACCCTCGTAAACTTCAACGGCTACTTGATTTATTGATTGACCACTTCGACATCTGGTAAGAGAAATTGTTTCTATTTTATTTTTTACTGCTTAGAATATTTTTAAATACTATGATGAACGCGTTTGACAAAATGAAATATGAGCAATTTCACTTTACCGTTGTATTCAATTTTAAGTAAAGCTATTTAAATTATTAAATATTTAAATAAAATTTATACTTAATAATACCAATAACTAAAATACTAAAAACAATTTCCCATTCAACAAACTTTGGCTGCCTGCCCGTCAAATTAAACTCCTTCCTGTTGATATTGGCGTATGGAAGAACAATCGTGGAGAGGTAGTTGTCCGTTGACAACTCCACCTGGACCTTGCAGTATTCCTTCAGACCGAATTTGAAAGCCACGATGTCTTTGACCACACTCCTTCTACTTTTCTTCATCAGGTTAGGTGGGTAGCAGTGCACACCTTTCAAAAGTTTTATGGTGGAGATGATGGGTTTAGTTTAAAAGTTTTATCAAGTTTTTTGATGTTGGAACAAAAATTTGAAAAAGAGTTTTGTCGGGAAGTTCGGCAAAAACGTTTTGAAAAAAATTAAAGAAATAGAAACCCGGTGGAGTGAACAATTGAAAATGAACTTCGTTCCTTTGCAAGTCCCCTTCCACCAATTTTATTGGAAATTTAGTTGGTTCCAATACCTTAGATGGAAAATTAAATTAAACGATTTGCAGTTTTAATTAATTTGATAACATATCTAAATGACATTTTTGGTAGATTTCTATTTTAATGTTTTAAGTATTTAAGAATGAAATAATTAGACTAAAAAATATTAACATCGAAGAAGCAGTGAGATAGTTGAACGAAGTCCACGAAAAGTCTGATGACCAGATCGCTAATCCACATGACGTCACTGCAAGCCGGAATCTTCCGAAAAGATGAAAGTACGGATTTGGAAATGTCTTTAAGATCCCTGGTTTAAAAAAAATTTTATTACATGGTTAATGATGGTGATGACGACGAAATCAATGATATATATGAAAAAAGATATTGTAAATGATGACTGTTGATATTGTTGATTTGATAATTAAAATATAAAAGTTTTTCAATATTTCGTTGTCCATTTTATTAATTCAATCACAATACAATCGTCTGCCGTTAGTGTTATACTATTTTTATCATCTTGACCGTAAAGTTACAGCATTATCATCGGCATTGTCATGTTCACCAAAGTATAACCTGTACATTTATAGTGATGATAATAACATACATACACATCAATAGGAAACTTATATAGCGCCAATTAAATAAAATTAAATACATACTCATCATCACCACCGTTCAAATTGCAACTTACTTGCAGACGTAAAGACATGAGACCCAATCCAGCGTATCTTCCATTTGTGTGTCTGAGTATTTCTGCAGGCATCTCTTGATCCGTTTCAATTCCTTTATTGTATCTTTTATATTTATTACGTTATCACCATTGTTGTCATCACTGTTGACGTCATTGTTGAAATATTCATCCGCATCTACGTCATCTCTGACGTAATTTTGTTTGGGATTGAACCAGCGCAAAAATGCCTGCATCACTTCGGCTACCATCAGGCTAAACTTTTGAACCTCCCTATCAACCATTTCATCCCTGATTTCTCTGACAACGTCATCACTACTTCCGCTTTGTTGCCGGATTGAGTCTGATCCGGACTGACCAGAATCAAAATCGAATAACGAGAGAATGTTGTTAAAGTCTGATAAAATTTGGGTGAGTTTGAAAATTCCGAGGCTCAAACTTCCGTGCTTGGCAGATTTTTTCCGCTGTGGGTTGAAAAGATGGGACATGTATGACGAGAATATGTTCTTGTCATTGTTATTGTTGTTACTGTTGTTATTAATGTCGTTGTTGTGGTTGTTGACGGCAAGTACGTTGTTTAAGATATCATGATCAATGTTGTCAAAAATGTAGTTATTGTCATTATAAATATTGTTGTAGTTGTGGTTGCTGAATCGGCTGTTGCTGTCCGTTGTATTGTAGATCATGTCAATGAATTTGAAAGCGAAACTTCGAACCATCAAAACTGGAAAGGCCGGATTGTTGACGCATACTGTCCAATGTAATGGTCATGATGATGATGTTAATGACGATGACGACGACAACGATGTGATGATGACGATAATGATGATGATGACGATAATGATGATGATGACGATAATGATGATGATGACGATAATGATGATGATGACGATAATGATGATGATGACGATAATGATGATGATGACGATAATGATGATGATGACGATGATGATGATGATGACGATGATAATAATTGTCTTCATACCAAAAAAACGATGATGCTATTATGGTTATGATCATGAAATATTGTATAAAGGCATGATAAAAATGGTTTAACAATGACGATTTTCCTATAAATTGTGACAAAATCATTTTTAACATCTACTTTTTAATGATGACAATGATGAAAAGCATGGCTATGATTAAAAATTATTAAATTTAAGAATTTAGGATAAAAAAAATTATAATATTTTTATAATCATTTATATTATTATTAATTATAGATCATTATAATTAATACAGTCACCTTTTTCAGTTTCAAAGCCTGCACCATCAGCAACTGATGTGACAATGACGACGATGATGACGACGGTGTTTAATGGCAACGAAACAGATTTCATTATCATTTATGATGCTAATTATCATTAGTTAATTAATTGAATAAATTATGAAAATTTGTTATTTAAAGCTCATTTAAGTTTGTGGACCGTAAAAAATTATCGAAGTATTTACATTTAGTTACTGATAAAAAAAATTATATTTTCATCTTATTAAACCTGATTTTTATTTTAATATAAATTCATTTCGATACGAAATAATTATTTTTTGAAACGATAACGCAATCACGCCAATTAATTATTAAATTTTATTATAATTAATTTTTAATTAATTTCATGTAAAATGTATTTTCAAAAAAAACTAGACTCTTATCATCCTTTTTTCAATTGAATAATACATACGCTACTACACTTTGATAAAATTATGTGAAAATCTTTCTAACGAAAGCCAAAAAATTATACAATTAAATAATTATATATATATATATATATTATTTGAGTATGTAAATATATATATATATATATATATCTTATTTATTTATATTGTTTTATTCTATTTATTTAATTGCAATAGTTCGGCTATTTGCAGATTTAGTTTAGAAAGTAAAAAAAAACGAATGAATGATACTGGGATTATTTCAACGTTGTTTATTGGCGACAAAGTTCAAGATGTCTTAACGAGATTAGATATGAGTTGAACATTTGGATATCTGGCTGATTGACTGGCTGACTAATTGACTGGTCGGTTGGTTGATTGATTGATTGATTGACTGACTGACTGACTGACTGACTGAAATTTTTATATGAAATAAAATTAAAACAGGATTTACGTACGCCTTCATTGATGTCAGAAGTTATTACAACATCCGAAATTTATTGCAGATAATTTTTTTCAATTTCAAATTTTTTGGAGTCCCTAAATGGGTCTACCCCATGGTTCTCTAACTACCTAATGCTGACACTGCTAGTAATTTAATCTTACCACAAGTAAATATTGTGATTACTGAAATAATTACACAACAAGATGTTACGAAATCGTCAACAACATCACGCCACCAAAGATAATGAATTTGTTTATCACTAAACTGATAATGTCAATTGTTATTTTTCGTACTATCAACAACCTTATCAACAGAACCAGTGTCATAAATATAGCCATCATCGTTTTCATAATCCTCATCATCATCATTATCATCATCTCCATCATCCTCATCTTCTTCATCCTCATCTTCTTCTTCTTCATCATCATCATCATCAATCTCATCAATATCATCATCTCCATCATCATCATCACCATTATTATCATCATCTCCATCATCATCTTCATCCTCACCACCATCATTCAGATTTATAGATTCATCCTCGTTTGACTTGTAGTGGATCGTAAATGTTTAATCTTCATCATAAGGCGGTCGTCGAAATGACGACGACGACGACGATGATGACGATGACGCTGTAGTTGTTGATGATGATGACGATGGCAGTTATGATGAAGGATAATAATGATGATGATGATAACAGAGTTAATGATCGCAGCAAAACCATTTCGCAATGAATTATTCCACTGAGAGATACGACAGCATTTTTATTTAATTTATGACGCTGATAACAATGGTGATGATAGGAATAATGATAATAATGATGACGATGATAATGTCGATGACAGTGGTGATGATTTATACAAGGATAATGATGACGGCGATGATGACGATGATTATGTTTATGTTAGTGATGATATATATAAATATTATAAATATATATATATATATATATATATATATAGACTGAAGATTTTCCTGATGTTTTTAGAACATTTTTCCCTAAAGATGCTAATCATCCATCCATGGTAAACATTCGACCTAATTAACGACTGTTCTGGAGGCAAAGATCTCAGCCAATCAGAGCTCGTAGAATCGGGTCAACCGGTACCCTGTTTATGGTCTCTACAATTTTTACCATATTCAAAATATATGCGCTATGCGCACATAAACATATCACACAACATGTTATAGTATCATGCATATTTTTATACAAAAGAAACTTCGCTATGTATCTACAACTACTGTGTATCAAAGTGGATCAACAATATTCAAATTCCTGCACATTCAAGAGAAAAAAATAATTTTTCACACACACTAACACGCTTACACACGCTTACACACGCACACTCACAAACACAAAATCACATACATATACAGATACAGCCTACACACAATTTATCCCTGAAGAAACACGCACAAAATTGAACACATGTACGCACATTCACTTACGTGTACATGTGCAGGCATGCAAAATCACAAACAGATACACACATAATTAAAACTAATTTAAATGTATACACACACACACAGAGACACTCACATTGACACACGCACAGACACACGCATATAAACATACATACGTAGATACGCACATACGCAGTTACACACACGCACACGTACAAACACGTACACGGATGCTTGAGCGCATAGAAAACAAACTTGATTTATGAATTTGTATTCTTCTCGGTGCAACCAAAAGTCATAAGTTTTCCAAGCGATTGAAAAAAAAATTTGAAAATATTTTTATTTGTTTGAAATAATTACAATATATTTTCAGAGGTCTTATATCTTTGTTTAATTTTATATTCGTATGTCTATTTGTTTGTAGAAAAATATTTTGTATGTATATTCTGTATGTTTATATATTTTTAATTTGTATATCTGCTAATGTTTGCTTTTGTTGGCTTAACGTTTAGTTTGTTGAAAATTGCATTTTTCTTTGTATTTTTCATTTGTTTTGTTTTTTAGATTTGAAACTATTCCATAGATCAAGGTTGTCAACACTTCGTCATATGTTTATTTTTTTAGTGTTGCATCGTTTCAATTTTTTATTTTGTCATAGTTTATATACAAAATTATAATAATACAGAAATATACAAACACATAAAAACACAAACATACAAACACACACCAACACGCAGAAACAAATACATCCAAACATATGCACACAAAAACAAACATACAAAAATGTATACAAACAGATACAAATGAGATATGGATAAATTTATGAGGTGGTGTAGAGATGTTAATGTTGTTGATGAGGGTAGAGATAATGTGACGTGTTCCTTTCTATATTTCTCTTCTATCTACACATACTCAAAACATAATGAACAAAAATAAAATAACAACAATAATAACAACAATAGCAATAATAATTATGATAACAAAAACAATATGATTAGTGGCCGTAGTAGTCGTAGTAGTAGTAATAGTCATCGTCGTCGTCGTCGTCGTCGTCGTCGTAGTAGTAGTAGTAGTAGTAGTAGTAGTAGTAGTTGTTGTTGTTGTTGTTGTTGTTGTTGTTGTTGTTGTTGTTGTTGTTGTTGTTGTTGTTGTTGTTGTTGTTGTTGTTGTTGTTGTTGTTGTTGTTGTTGTTGTTGTTGTTGTTGTTGTTGTAGTGGTGGTGGTGGTGATGGATACAGTGGCAACAACAGTAGTAGTGACAGTAAAAATAATAAAATTATTTGTAACGTTACTGTTGGTAATAACATTGCAACAATAATAATAACAATAATAAGAAGAATAGTAATAACAACAAATATTTTAATTATCGTTTTAACACGGAAAACTTACGATAAGTATCAACCTAGTAAGGAACGGCTCATAGCAGGTATGCTATCAAAAGTGATACTGTATAAAGGAACATCGGAGGAGCTGATGTATCTGACTGGAAATATTCCATTGATTTTGTTACGGTTGTATTTGATGTTACGCTTGTCTTCTGAAGCATTGCATCCATGTTACTCTCCTCAAAAACAAAACACATGGAGACCGTGGAAAAAAATTATTTGTTACAAGTTCAAACGACAAACTTTTGTGTTGCTCGTTTGTTTTTTCGTGGGGATGAACACGCGGACAAATGGAAGTGTGTGAACAAATGAACAATTGGATAATTCAACAAACAAAAAAATGATTGAATGAACGGATGAATAAAAAAATGAATGAATGAGAACAAATAAAGGAAACACGTTTGCACAATGAACCAACTCACAGATTTGAAAAGCAAAATGAACAATTGAGCATGAGATGAACAAAAGATCAAACAAACAAATGAACAAAGTTTCAAAATATTGGATGAATAGACTGAAAGATAAAAAATAACCGACTGAATGAACGACTGAATGAACTTGAAAACAAAAAAGAATGAATGAAGGTATAGGTGATTAATTATTTGCTGATTGCCAGCTTCCTCTTTAAAATATTCAACCATGGGAAGCCACATAGAATTGCTGTAGCGCACAACTTGGCATGTTTACGAGTTAACAATGATTTTATTTATTTCACGTTCAAGCAACGAGCAGACAGACAAACTCACAATTAACACACTCATAAATACACACATACTTCCAAACAAACACATGTGCAACA